TTCCTTTACAACTGACACGTACGCTTTTAGGTTCTTAAAGGCAGCGTCCCAAAAGATGGGTCCAAGAATTTGTGGCGATGTCAAATTGGACCTTCTACCTAAGCGGTGACGAAGTTCGGAGCGAAAAAGAGGGTCTGGTAAGCTTGAAAATTGCTCCCAAAGCGGCCCGTCTTACGGCAGGCCCGAATGCCGCCCGTACAGCGATTTCGAACTGCAAGGGCAGACAACGCATAGCGCACACAGTCATGAGTGCAGGGTCCCGCAACGACTCTGAGTCTCTGCCCTGCACGCATCTCGACTCACGAGCCTACCGTAAGATCCGGGCCACTTACGGGGCAAATTTTAGGCCTGGTAGCCCCCTTTTTCGCTCCGTACATCAGTCATCGCTTAGATGGGGGACTACTTCAACATCGCCACAATCCGGCACCCATCGTCTTGCCGGGGCTGCAACTGAACCTTTCTTCGTTGTAAACTGAAACATAAAAAAATGTCTATACCTGAAAAAATTAAATCTGAGATGTTTTGGTCTCTCACAGGTAGTCTCACTGACATAATTTATTCGCATAGTATTCGAAAATCGAATGATATTCGAAAATCGAATGTTATTCGAGAACCGAATAATATTCGAAGTTCGAATATCGAATGGTATTCGATATTCGAATATTATTCGATTCGAAAACTTCCATTTTCGAATAATATTCAATAGTCGAATATTCGAAAATTACGATTTTTGGATAAAAGTCGATAGTCGAGTATTCGAAGTTTTCAATCTTCGAATAATATTCGATAGTCGAATATTCGAGAATTCCGATTTTCGAATATTATTCGATATTCGAATATTCGAAAAAAATTTCGAACTTCCCAAAGTATGCTGGGTACGCCACTGCTAGGGAGCAGCCAAAACCTCGTTTGTCCATTTTTGCCAATGGTTATGTTTCTAGCAACTATCATTCAGAATAAGGAAGTCGAATCAAGCTCAAGTCCCTTTGAAAACACCATTTGTACGTGGTAGCGCGCATTTAGCGTACTGCGTACTCAATAACCTGCCACGATGGAATTGGGGAAAACATATATCTTTCTGTAAAAAGGACAACGAATAAAATTTTTACTGAGAAGAGAGGATTTAGCGGGAGTTATAAAGAATCAAGATGTATGAAATGGATGCTTTGAAGGTAAGTAGATGGAGTGTTTCGCAATATCAAAGAGGTATGACAGCCACATCATTTCGAGAAATGTGCCACACCCCATTGATTCAGCTCCAAAGAAAACTTTAGTATATTGATATTTCAATGGTTTGAATTTCGTGGTCCCCACAAAATAATTTGAGCCTGAATCTAATCGTTGAACGGTGTAAAGGTTTTTGAAAGCACAATCACAGGAAGTAAAAAACCAAATAGACAAAATTTTGACTCTTTCCATAGTTTGGCGGTTATTCGAAGGAGCAAAGAGAGACAGAGAAGGGCTTTCTAGTGAGTGCAAAAAGGTAGCTCAACTCATTTTTAAAACAAAGTCAATCATCTTTGAAATGACCATTTCACCTAACCTCAGAATTCGCTGAAACTTGATCCAAAGGGGTATTTGACATGCTATCTACGAAAATGCTACTTATTATGCTGGGTAATGTCTTATGTTATGCCTACGGTAGGTAGATGATAATACTTGGAAAACGGAATCTGTTGAGACACTCAGCTCAGAGGAAAGATGGTGGGGGAGGGGAGGAAGAGAAAGTCCTTTGGCCGGTGTCCAAACCTCTTGTTCGATTCTGTTCGAAGTAGACATACACCGCTGCAAGGTGCACACCCTGAGGGTGCAGGATTCGCATATTCCCGACACCCTGGACAAAGGGCAGCAATTAGAGTAATATCAATGTGACTGACACCTTTTTGAGACTTTGAAGACGGAGAGTGGCCAAAACTCAGACGATAACTCAGTGTATCATCAACAAAAAAGCCGTACGGCACAGATAAATAGTTGGCTTCCAAAATTTATGGCAAGGTATGTGCAAAAGACTTGACTTATGACTTGCACAAATTCGGCGTAACAATCAAGTTAGCATGCGAAAATTCCTGGTCTCACTGATTTTGTATTTGCTCTCAAGAATATAGCGGAAAGTTTTGTGCAATCTTTCAACTCTGCCATATTGTAAAATCTTCTGGTTGTTGGGGAGCGAGAGCTAGTAAACTTTTCTTCAACTGCTTGGCGCAATGTACGTTTTAAGAGGTAATGTACTACTTGTTCTTGCTGCAATGCTAAGAGGTACGCATAGTCCGAAAAGTGCAGATGGTGTATCACCGACTAATACTAACGAACATTTCAGAGTGGTATCTTGACGGAAACTCCTAAGTCCATGGTAGATACTAGATTTTTCCAAAAGTTTTTGCGATTTGCGATTTTTTCATCTAAAATCTTGCAACTTTTTTCAAAATCAACAGTTTTCAACAAATCAAATTATGCTGAATTGAGCGTGTTTATGGTTATCACATGACTGTATGTAAGGAAGGCAAGTGAGAGAGAAAAGAAAATTATTTTAAATTCTGGAAGGTTTCCTTCAAACCCGTCTAATCTGACCTACCACTGCTTCCATATGGGGATGAACAGACATATTTGGCGGCATCATTAAGTAGCCTATACTTCAAAGGTTTTTTGCGGCTAAAGAGAATTCGAGTTATTTTTGCTGCACAGAAATTTTTGCGAGCAAATCAAAAAACCCATTATTTGAGACCTTCTCCGCGTGCGAAAATATGCGAAAATATTAGGTCGTCCCGAAAGTTCTTGCGCACGATTTTCAAAAATTCATAACTTCTGATTTTTCCAACCGATTTGACTGCTTTCATTTTTGTATGAAAAAGTAAGTCATGCTCTTCATAACGACATCTTAGCTACTTACTAATGGTCATCTGTTGCATAGATAGGAGCGATAGAAGAAAATTAGTTTCTGCGTAAGGTCATAAAAAATCGGAGACTTGCAACAAAAATCGGAGCAGTCAGTGTTATAGGTTCTTTCACCAGCTCTTTCTCTGTATGCAAAGTTTGCGTTAATTGAGCGTCTCTATGAAAAGTTATGATTTTCGAACAAGCAATATAAAAAAAGGCGGATTGATTCATTTTGACACTTTTCAGGGAAATCATAACGTTTCATAGAGACGCTCAATCGGCACAAACTTTGCACTGTTAGAAAGGGCTGGTGAAAGAATTTATAATACTGACTGCTCCGATTTTTGTTGCAAGTTTCCGATTTTTTATAACCCTACACAGAAAATTCGAATTTCGACTAATTTTCTGCTGTCGCTCCTACCTATGCAAAAGATGATCATTAGTAAGTAGCTAAGATGTCATTATAAAGAGCATAACTTACTCTTTCATAAAAAATAAAAGCAGTCAAATCGGTTGGAAAAATCAGAAGTTATAAATTTTTGAAAGTGCGCAAGAACTTTCAGGACGACCCAATATAATAATCTAATACTTGATTTTTTCTTGCTGTCGCAAACGAAGAAAGCTGATTGGCCGATGGTTCCAGCTTGCTCTCGCTTTGCTCCAACATATGCAATATTGAATGTAGTCGTTGCCACTCGTTAAATAACTGAGTTTGTCTTCTACCTTTGAAAAAAAATTGAAAAAGTAAGACATTCTCTACGTCTGAGAAAAAGTGTGCTTTGTTAGCCAACTACACCCTTACCCATTATAAAATATTGCATATTTACTTTAATTCGGCTTCAATAAGCACTAGAAAGAGCAGGAAAAGTACTTCTAGATGATGTTTATGACAATGCCATAAGTGCAAAACCCTCAGAAAATAGCTGCGTTGAAACAAGGCAATTATTAGGGTGATCCAAAAGTAATGGGGCACCTAGAGAATAGATGCAGTTTTCTCAAATAAAAAAGCTAATTGGAAGTCCAAATTTTGGCAGATGTTACATAAAAACCTTCTGATCGAGGTCTATAGTTGAGCACTGTCACATGGCGTTATTTTGATAAGCGCTCAAAATGAAAGCTTATCACTTCAAGCAATTTTGAACTTTGATCAGCAGCGCCGCAATAGAACAAGTGAGCCTACCAAAGATATATGCGCAGCAATGGGTGAAGGGACTGTCACCAAACTCAGAATAGCTCGGTGGTCTCAAGGCTTTAGAATAGAAGATATAGCATTTGGTATCAAGAGACATAGTACTTCATCTTTCATCAAGATAATCAAATAAGCTCAACATTAACAGTTGCTCTCTGATAGTGCTTTTTTACGCTCCATCCACACGTATGCAAATTACTTCGAATTTTCTCGTTTTTAAAAAATTGTAGGCCAAAACATGAATTTTAGTCTAAAAGTCTGCGCCGAACATCCCACATTTTGGAACAAAGTGCCTTTTTTGTATGAAATAGTCGGCATTTTCTGAATATTCAAGTAATCATTAGAAAGAACTTGGAAAGCTCTTTCGAATGGTATGCCATATGTCGAAGGTCCTTCAGGTGCAGCAGCACAAATGACGATGGCGTTCAAAAAAGTCTGTCTGACTTTTTTGAAGCGCCGCTTGAAGCAATGTCGGTGAGGTGCTGCAAGGTGTTGTCATGATAACCTGCGAAGGTCAGTTTATACAAAAGCGTTCAAATTGCTGGTTGCTCATAGCTAATCAGAAAGAGATCTTGAAGAATTTTCAAAAAAATCAAGGTGCCACATTACTTTGGGATCACCCTAATAAAAATCAGCAGAATTTTTGAAACAATCGTATTATTAAGTTAGCTGCGAACTTTTGGTTTCACATTGAGTTGATTGACGCTTAACATGATGATGCTCTACCTATTTGGAATGAGATAAAAATTGTTCGTGTATTTCGCAAGAGCACCTTTCCTTATATGTTCGAATTTGTTAGAAATATTGCCGAGCATCGCGAGTTATTTTAAAGCTTGTGAATTTTTAGTATTTTGCAATGTTCTAAAGCATTTTAATATATACATTGTTATCGTAAAGGAAAACTCATTTTTTGAAACAATTCGAACCAATTTTTTACCTTATAGCCAGCCTCTTTGTATTCAGAAGGTACATATGGTAAATTGTCTAAGTACATGTTGCAAGCAACATCTTCATTGAGGTCTTCTTTGGTAGTGTTCAGCTTCATGACCGTTCTTTCAACAGCTTCGATAGTTATACCTACATATAAACAATTGAGCAAATACTGAAACTCTTCCTATTAGTGATATATACATGGACATTTACCCAATAACAGAGGAAATTCATTTGGCTTGGTGTTTAGGCCAATCTTGTTCAATTTACGGAATTCGACAGCGCCCATGCCATGCAAAAGAAAATTCACAGTCCTTGGCAAAGCTCTGGAAAATTGTTGATATATTCGCGTTTTGATGAGAAGACCAGGTTATACACACTGAGGGCAGACAATGTGCCAAAACCTTTAACTCTAAATTCGCTGGAGATGCGAAGCAAAAGAGAGCCATAGATTGATTTTTCTGTGAAAATGGAACGTCTGTGGCATGTGTCGCGATCTGACGCTTTATCGAGGACAATTTATTAGATTCTGGACGCAGTGATTTGCCTTTCCTATTCTTGTCTTTCCTTAGTAAGACAGCCTTTCTGGGAAGATAGTTCATTCAAGTGCTCACGTGTTTAGCTTTCCAATGTGCACCCTTCTGCTCGATAAAATGAAGTTCCTACCAAGTTATCGACAATTTCGGATGAATGCGAATGGATTGTACGTAGTAGATGATTACACCGTACCCTCGATACATAGAACCATGTACTCTGGTAACCTTCCTTGCTGACATAAGAAAACACAATGTTTACTCAAAAGAAACAGAAAGCATCTAGGGCAAATCCTCGATGCTAAGCTTGCAACAGTACCTTTGTCCCATGGCTAACCCTCTTTTCTGTGCATAGTATTAGGTCACTCCGAAAGTTTTTTTCGCTTTTTGCGCCTTAGATGTTAGTCCCATATTTCAAGAAAGTGCCAGAGGGCTAATAGGGGTTGCTATGCATGGATTTATAGAGAAAGTCTTCTAGTTTTTAAAAGCCCCACCGAAGTTGCAGGAAACGCTTTGTAGGGAAGTTTACGTGGCTATAAATTCGGCGTATGAGAACGCGATTTTCGAATGATTGCATTTCCTAAGCTTAGTCTTGAGTGTAAGACAGTCAAGAAAGCCATCATTGTGCGCAGTGCGTTTGCTGAGGCCACTTATTTCTTTGCTTGGTTAAAGTCTGCTTCAAAAAGTCCAGATCTAAAGAAGTGAAAGCTAATGTTTTGCAGTGTTCTGGAAGGTGTTGCCATATAAACATCTCAAAGGATCCTCTGGAGCAAATAGCAAATACAGCTGCATAAAATTATGAGCAGTCCTTGAAGTTTCATAAGCTCCATTGAAAGCCACCATCGCTGAAGCTGCAATACCGAAAACTATCAGTGGCATACACCTCACAAATTCTCGCATTCGCAAATTGAGGGAACGCTGACTCTGCTTTCGTCGCTCATGATTTCTTTTTTGGCCGATTTGATAATTGCAGCAAAAAATTGGCCAAATACGGCCAAAAGAAGCAACAATGTGGTAAATCATTTGGAACATTCATGGCAAGCATGGCCGTGAGCAGTCACTCACTCCAAAAGTTTAATGTATTCAAATTAATGTAATCCTGCTGGTCTTGCACGCTATAAACTTGCTAACATGTGATTGTATTCTAAGAGCATAGCAGTATGATATCGCTCTAAACATTGTTTATGACAATTTTGAACGAGCAGACTACGTACGACCTATGAGAGGTGCCATCCCAGCCCATGACGCCGCCAAACTACATGGAAGAAAGGTGGCTGTCACAAAAGGCTCTGACCGCGCACAGGGCCCGGCAGGAGGTGGCATTTCAGAATTTTGAAAACCCCTTTGAAGCCAAAATTTCTTACGACTTCCCCTTTGACCCTATTTTTGACCCCCGTAAGTCCCTGACAAACAGATATACACAAATAATAAGATGGGCGGCCTCAGCGCTTATTATAGTAGTACTACTTGGCTTTCCTGGTCCGGCCCGGGTCATCGTTTGAGGGGATGGCCAAAAACCACACTTTGTCCTTCTACCTTCCCGTCCTTTTGGGCCATATTCTCCACCCCTTTTCTGCAGTATCAATACTGCACTGCAGCCCTCCCCTTACCCTCCTGCACGAGCTTACCCCAGAAAGGCTTATTGGAGTGACCGCACCTTCTAATTTTAAAGTGGAAATGAACTTCACTGCATTGTTCACACCAAAATGTGCAAGCAGTTTGCTAGCGGCTGGTAAGTGTTCACTTTCCTTGCAAGGTTCTCATTAAATCGATAGAAGAATTCCACGAACTGCTTCGAAGGGTAGCTTAAAACCATCTACCGAGGCCGAAAACTTATGTTTTCAAGGTTTCAGCTCAATGGGTTCATCCGCAAAGGAATCTATAAAAAACAGAGGGTCAAGATTTGCACAAACTTTGACGTTTATATATCTAAGATACTACTCATTTATTAGTCAGCTGCAAAACTTCACAATTTACAATAACCGATTGCGATTGAAGCGCGCTTTCCGATGTCGATCATAACGCTGTGAACCCTATTTGCGGCTGTATCGAAGCGGTGCCTTGGTGGTTTTGGAAGCGGATTTGAACATATAGTAATACTCTCGACCTAGTCCACATTTATGTAAAGAAATCCGGGAAATTATGTGAAGGGAAGCAGGGAGCCACCCCAGGTTGCTCCCAGGTGGAGCGGGAGCCACCTAATTTCGAAAAACACTTACCATTTTTCAAATTCACTTAAGTTTCTCATAATTCTTCATACTTTTTTGTGCTCATGGTCCTCCAACTATACAGCAAATTTGGTGCCATATCGCTACTTGTGCATTGGAAACGAGCCTATTTTGTTATTTTCCTCTTACAAGAATTGCGATTTGAATTCCCGTCTGCGGGCAGGCTAGCGATCGGAGCACAGAATCTTCACATCGCTGGAATCTAAGTTCATAGGACAGTAGTATCAACAAGGAATGATGAATAAAGAATGATGTGTGCATAGGTAAACAGGTTTATAGGTAAACAAAGGACCCCAAAATACGACTTCCCCTTTGCTTTTTCGGGCCAAAAACGATATCCAGCTTGTGAAAGCGCCACCCCGCCGGGCCCTGACCGCGCACCGAGGTTCCTGTCATATTTTCGAACTTTTTAGACTTTCTTTCACCAATCACGAAATTTTCCGATTCCTCCGTGCCTATTTATGATAGGATTCAATAAAAATTAGCTAGTCAAAAACGTCTTTTTAAGCTTAATTGATTCCTGTGAGTTTATTTCGCAAGAAAAAAGCATAAGAGCACCACGAGAGTGTTACCAGAAATTTGCTGTAAACAATGAAATTTATTTGGTGGAGAAAATTTAAAATTAAGTTTTATTTAAAATAAGTTTTGCTCTGACCCCGTACTAACAGGACTATGACCCCGGATTTCATACAGTCACCTTCTCTACCAAATGGGCAGACCACACAATTAGGAGTGGGAAAAGTACGATCATAAGCGCGGTTTCGAACAATTTGCCATTTGAGATTAGCTGGAGAGATATCGACCACTTATATCACGCCTTGCAAACCCGCGCGTTGTACTCAGCGCCTCACTGCACTGTTCAACTCGTCAGAGATAAACGGCAGGCAGAAGGTGATCTCAGCGGTACTGCCCGGACCGCGAGCCCCACCCCAACGCGACCCGCGGGCCCCACAGACGCGTTCAGGCAAACGTAGCCGCTGGATGCCGCAGCTCCCCGAGCCAAGGCGATAGTACGTCGATGACCGTTGCGCCATTCGTCCCACGCAAACCGAAGTAGACACCAGCTCCAACATCCTCAGTCAACAGTCGCCCAACATCGCATTTACCAGTGGCCGTATTCATCAACGAACCCTCAAGGTTAAAAGTTACCTCAGCTAGCATTTTAGTTTATAACCCGTATTCACAACATGATCGCAATGAAATTCTTTCATGGGTTAAGTCTACCTTGAGGTAGAAATGAACCTTTAAACGCATAAACCCGTATTCATCATTCTACCTTGAGGTTGAATTTTACCTTAATCATCATTTCTCCACCAACTTTCTATTATGCATCCAAGGTAGAATTTAACCCTAGGATAGCTAGGGTTGAAATCTACCTTGAATTTGCACATAAGAGTTGAACTCTTTACAAGGACCTCCTTTATTCTAATTTCTGAGGACCTTATTCTGACGCAACCTTTTTCAAGGACAAATATATTATATCAATACTAGCTCAAATTTCACTTGTTTACTTACACGGAAACCTTTTTTTGTCGAAGTTACCTTTTTAGATGGGAATGTATAAGTTTAGCAGAAAACATTCCAAATCTGTCTTTTTCTTTGTGGAACGTTCCTTAACGAGGAGTTGTGAGCGTTTATTGCAGCATGAATTTACATATACATTTAGGATGAAGTTGCTAAATCTCACTAGTCCTCAAATAAAGCAATAATTGTAAGATATTTTAGGCTGGACACTACGTTTTGCACTTAGTTTCATAAATTCAACCTCTTTAATTATGGCGCATTCAAACTTTGGCAATATGTAAAGAGTAATATGTGACACAACTGCACGTAGATTGCTCAAATTTTGACATGAAAAAGGAAAGTTTCAGGCATTTTTCAAAAACTAGTAAATTTTGAGAATTTCTGGAGTTTCAAGCTGAAATGAAGCCGTTACCAGCCTAGACCATGCGCAGTGATCCGGAATCGTGTACGAATTATGGCTAGAAGTTGACTCATTGGCTTAGTAAGAAATAAACAAAATTTAGGGGAGTCGAGATTTGGCGTCCCCACAAAGTCGACCATGTCGCAGTACGCAAGCGCTGCTGGGGACGACCGTCAATGACTAAAGAGTCAGAAGCTCAATTTTCGCCGAGACTTGACATAAGGCGACTTGACCTATCAGATACGAATATCATATTCATTGGTTAAATAACGCCTCTTTCTTTGTTCTGCGTGGGACCCTATATATCAAACTTACAGTAACCTTACAAAAAAGCCTTTATCACGCAAAGTCATTATCATTTTTGTGATCAGCATGTCGGATAACACCTATCCCAAGTTTCAGCTAAATCTGTCATATTTTATATTTTTTTATACCATATACCTAGCTTAACCCTCATTGTGAAGCTAGAATATGGCAGAATAGCAGCTGCGCTTGTAGCTTACGTTACAGATCGCAATCGCAAAATTTAAATGCATATGTCGAGAGAGAGAGGAAAGCATTAAATGAGTTGCAAAGCTTAGTTTCCGACTATTTGATTATTGGAGTATCTATTGAATAAAGTACTTTAATGATTATCATTGCTCCATTGAAGCGCTAGAAAATATATTGCGACCATTTTTGTCCTACTTGCACATCCAATTTCCGCTCCAATAAACGCTCATACTTTGTTCATAAATTCCGCAGCTAAGGAAAACAGTGGCATCAGCGTTCTAAGCCCTTTAACATGGTATCAGAGCCCAGCATGACGGTGGCAAATAGACACCCGTGAAACGACTTCGCCTTTGCCACTATCGATTTTTATGATTTCCCACTTGATCTCGCCAGTTGCGTACAGTCGCTTCATTTCATATGATCATGTGTGTCATTGCACACACAGTTCACTTTTGGCGTCCCCATCCTGGATTTGTGGGAGAAAGGGATTGTTCGATAGGGCGATATAGGTCGTTCAATTGGGCGATTCTCTCCTTAAAAGGACCGGCGTCGTGCTGTTCCGGATCCTAGCAAAGAGGCGGGGAAGAGTTTTGGGATCAAAGTTTTACATACTAAACGTTTTACATACTAAACTATAAGAGTGAAACAGAGTTATGTAAAAATTTTGAAAACTTATGTGAATCTTTGCGGTATTTGCGTTTCATTTGATACAGCTCAATTCTAACTCTACTTTTACTCTGATGGCCATGAAGCGTGTTCTTTATCCTAATGTACACGGTGTCCCAAATGTAAGTACTCACTCTTTGATCGGTGGTAACTCTCTTCTCAGGAAGCCTTTTGCTTAGCTGCAAGTACCATGCAGTAGTGCGCTTCAACTTAGGCTTATAGTATGGAGCAAAACACCTATGGCTCTTGATTGCTGCAAGATCGTTAGGAAAATTTACAGCGCCATTTTGAAATAGGCCAGCAAAAAAGGTTCCAAAAAGCTGGAAAGTTGGGTAGCAGTGTTTCAGAGATGCTGACACCATGAGAAAACCTTGCTGAGAGTTTCTACGCGTTCCAATTGGTTTAGCCATTTTGGGCCAAAATTCATACATTGATTTCAACCATCAATGTATATTTTTATATAAATTTGATAAGAAGTTAAGAAGGGTTTTAACTTTGTTTGAGACCCTCTTCAATTTCTATTCTAATACTACAGTAATGAGAGCTATAGGTGCTTTGCTCCATATCAGCAATCTAAGTTCAACCATGCTCTACTGGATGGCTGTTGAATCTAACCGAAAGACTTTGTGTGAGAAGAGATATTAACGATCAAAAAGTGCGTACTAACATTTGAGACAACCCTATATCAATTGCGACGTCCAATCATGTTAAAACATAATTGCTTAGTTCCTCAGAAGACTTTCCTTCCAAAACATGGTAACGTGCACCTACAAGATATACGGCATTATCAACATGGCAGTCGGAAAATCACTAGCAGTAGAAGATTTCATGCACCACTGATACGTCATGGCATGTTCCGAATAAACGTCAGTGAGTACTCTGTTGACTACCAGGTAGATTTTAACCTCAAGGTAGATTTGTGAATAGCAAAGTTACTTTGAGGTTAAAATCTACCTTAAGACGTGCTCTCAAAGTAAAATTTAACCTCAAGGTTCGTTGATGAATACGGCCACAGGAAAAACCCACTGAAGAGTGGCTGGCTTTTCTGAATGTGCAGATTCATATCAAGGCGGGGAATATAAAAACAATGATGTCATAAGCCCAGTAATAAAATTATCCTGAGTCACTCTCTGTCTGCATATCCAAGCAGTATGAAAGTATTTATTGTAGCTAACATGCGTAAAACAGCTCTACGCGTGTCCTCCGGCGGCGACGAACGCTCACATTCCATCGTCTTGGCTCGGGAAATTGCGGTGTTCGGCGGCTACGCTTTGCGTGAGCACGTCTATGGGCCCGCGGGTCGCGTCGGGGTGGAGCTCGTAATCCGAGGAGTACCGCTGAGATCCCCTTCCGCCTGCCGTTCATCTCTGATGAGCTGAGCAGTGCAGTGAGGCGCTATGTACGACGCGGGTTTGCAAGGGTGATAAGAGTGGTCGATATCTCTTTAGCTAATCTCAAACGGTAACTTGTTCGACGCGCTTATAATCGTATTTGTCCTACTCCTAATTGTGTGGTCTGCCCATTTGGTAGAGAAGGTGACTGTATGAAGTACGGGGTCATTCATCTTATAACATGCCTTTCATGCGGAGAGACGTACATTGGCGAAACAGGGCGCCCGCTCTGTTGTCGCGTAAAAGAGCATGTAGATGGAATGGAAAAGTTAAGTGCAGCTACAACGTTAGGAAAACACCTTATAGTGCGTCGTAACAATTCTAAGGTACAAGTTGCAGTAAGAATCTTGTCGTATGAACCCGAGATCCGCGCTCGCAAAACGTTGAAAACTTTTTGACTTAATGGCCAAAATCCAAAATTCAATAGAAAGGAAGAATGTATTGCCATCACACAGGAACTTGGTATATCAGTCCCTATGCGGATTTGAATAGGAGGTCAGGTTATCACGGCATATATAAAAGAGCTGAGGCGTAGTCTTGTATATAGGTGGTCTTCTGACTTCCGCTTTGTGTTATTCAAGGTGAGTATGGTCCTTGTACTTCTGACGATGTTTCGCGCTAGCTTTTTCTCGAAGAGTATTCTGAGTCTTTTCCTGTTGTCTGAAGGAATAGGTTGCTTATAACTTCGACTTCCAGGCTCCTGAAAAAGGCGAAAGCGTGGACAATCATGAATGGAGAACCCCCTTTGGGCATTATTCACTTTGACCTTCTAGTGGCGTGCTCTTCGATCACAAAACCTTTCGGAGGAATGCAAGGGAAAAACTCGTTTACTAATTTCTGATCTCTTTTGAACTCGAGACTTCAGAATCTTTTGGCATTTGGGATGCCAAGAATGATCAAGACAGCCAGATAAGAGTAAAAATATCGTGCATACGTGTCTATACTGCTTCGTAGACATCCTCATCTGATTACGGACAACCAAGGGCTGGTCATCTAAGATTTCTCTCTCTCTTTGTTTTATGGCAGTTATCTTAACTGGCGGAGGTTTTATTTCGTCTTTTTGTCCTCAGTAAATGGCACTCATTAGATCCACACCTTAGCAAAGACTGTGCATCGCAAAGAAATCAACAATTTTCAAAACAATTTTCAATATGGCTTGCTTTATAAGGTAATGTTCTTGAAATATCTCACCGAATTATTTGTGTTGACGCTACAGAGTCTATTACGATGATATGCACATCAGGATTGTCCGGACGCTTCACCTTTGATGACTTTGAAGAGGATCTGAAGTAAATCATATGCCGTTGAAATACTTAAAAAAGTACCATAAAGCAGCTTTTTGCTATGTAACATACGAGTCAGAATTTTTTTGAACCATTTCTAACATGAGTGATGAGATCAAGGAGCGATCTTCGCCGCAAAGCGCGGAGAGGTGTTGGGTATAATTAGCTGTTCCGTCGTATAAATACAGTACGTCTTTGCTTCACAGACGAGCATATTGACGCACGAATGTCCATGGCAGGAACGCCTTGAAAGCAAGAGCTACATAGATACTGACTAGGCTCCCGAGCGGGAGTAAGCAAGTGATACCTGCTCTTGGGCAAGGAAAACAAGTATATGGGTGGTGCTAGGGCCGGAAAATTATGCCTCTCATCGTCTGTCGCTGTCTTCAGCCTAGATCTTAAAAATCCATACTTGACGCAAAAGAATCACGAGGTACTGATCTGAGACAATTTGCATCGCTTGACTTGAACTTTTGCTGATGTAATAGTTGATGTGCTGAATAGAGCAACATACAGGACATCCCAAAGAATTAGCACACTGTTTGATCGTCGATAATGCTCTCGCTTTCAAGTCTCTCGCAGAGGTTGAAGTACCATTCTGTAGAGTAAAGTTTAAATACTTTTACAGCTTGGAACGAATGATCTTTTCTTGTCGTCGCAGGATTACTGTAGGAACTTCAAAAAGGATTTCAGGCGATTAAAAGCGATATTTTACCTCATAAAGAAAACCAAACAAGTCAAAAACTTTTGTAGTGGACTGATGAAGTCGCAGACTTTGAATATGGAATTCTCACTTTACCGTTATGCTTCCTTCAAAAGTTATTTCAGGTTTAGGGTGACAACATTTCTTCAATATTCGACAGGAACGTGAATACACCACTAAAAAAGGTGGATAGTTGGTAAGGAGTTGTGTATTGAAATCAAATTACTGAAAATCTTGCTACACGAATTTCCTTATGGAGATTTTTACATCAAAAGGCCATTCCCACACTGGTGCCGTATGCTGTAAGTTCATACCGCATTCTACAATTAATGAAGAGCTATTGGTGAATTGCTCCAAACTGTAAATCTAAGTTGAACCTCGCTCTACAGAATGATATATTAAGCTCGGCGAAAGACGTGAAAGCAAGAGAGTTATTAAAGGCACCGTCCACCCAAATTCTCGACGTGCATGTTTTTATTGCCCCCGACCTTCTGAAGGCCCTGATTTCATATATAGAGTCGAGAATCCTCGAAACTCCCAAAAAACCGTTTTGGAGAAGGGTGCAATCAGGTCGCGGGACTGCGGCGCGAATATACGCCGAGCGTCCTGCAAAGTGGGCGGGGCGACCAGTTTTGGTCACTCCCCCACCTGGTCACTGACCAGGTAGGGGAGTGACCAGCACTGTCCCTTCCGGAAAGGATTTCTCGCTCTGGAAGCACTGTTTTGCTGCGCAACTTGGGGGATGGTCTAGTGTGGGGGCCCACATTAGTATGCCATTGGAAATCGTGAACCTCCACTTAGGTGGACGGTGCCTTTAACGATCAAATAGTGTGCACATCTTTTTGGAACACCCTGTATTTGCTTAGCATGGTAGATTGCAGAAGTGTAACCTATGACAAAAAGTCACCTAACGTGATCTTGTCTCAAGTTTTACTGGCAGGTAGTCGAAGAGAGGAAGATATATGTTTTTTGTTTTTTGTAATAAATTAACAAAACTAAAACGTAAAAATTGCAAAGGCAGCATCCGAGAAAAACGCCAACATGGAAATTCTTGTCTTTCTTGGGTTTTAGTGTCATGTAAGAACGTTCAGAGAGCCGAAAACAATCGTTTCGCACTTTCTATATAGAAGAACGATCAGCGGTGATGACTAATGACTGTATATCAGGCTGTCAAGAAAATAATGTCGTTTTTTATTTGCTTGCAAAACAAACCAACCAGGCTAAACTCAAGAAAGGCAAGGGGTACTGTTCGATAGAGCAAAGCAAGCTCTACGCGATGACAATCCTAATTTCGCGCCAAGTTTGATTCACGAAAAATTCAGGCTCGAGACCTGAAGAGTTCTAAATGCCAAAAAATTTTAAAAAATTTCTCCGCCCAAAAATTTTCTGGGAACCTCCCACTTGCGTACATCTTTGCTTTTGATATCAGAGATTCACATGCACAGTTGCTGTATTATTTCTTTGAGTAGAAACTGAGAAAATGACACTTTTTGCGTTTTTCTCAAGGCAATGCTGACTCCGCGTAAGTAAATCTATACTACAAGCCTAGGTAAGTATAACTGTAGATTGTCGGCCTATTCCGCGAAATGTCACACAACTGAAACTAAGAAAAAGAAAGCTTAATTTGATATTTCTCGAAAATTACCGCTCGAAATAAGCTGAAAATTTACGGTTATACTTACTTAGCTGTAGTTTAGAATTACTTATGTGAAAATGGCCCAGCATTGCTTTGAGAAAAACATGAAATATTCATCTCAATTTCTAGTCAAGGAAAAAATACAGCAACTTCGCATATGAATGTGTGGGCCCGTAGTAATCCACCCTACCTGCCGGCATCTCATGCTCCCGCTCGCCCTAATGTGGACTTGAGGACCCTAAAATCTTAGACTCCCTCCGGAGACCCCCAAGCCAGGCTGATCATCTATTTTTTTGTATTGCGGCCTAATTTTGCTGTCGAAATAGTATGAGAATTGAAAAAAAATCCAAAAAATGTCCTCCTTTGCCATTTATTTGGCCCGAAACGTGAACCTGCCGGCAGGTTCACGATCACTTTTCGTCGAAATTTGAGATGCCATCTCGCCCTCAGCCTGCCGGCAGGTCAGAGAGTGCACGAAATAGTGTGCTTTTGGTGGAGTGCAACCTGCCGGCATCTAAACGTGCCCCTACCACGTCCAGATGCCGGCACCTTTGCCGACGGCGTCTGTGAAATTGCGTCGCGCGGCAATATCACACAATTTACGTCAAGCAAAAGAATCAGAAAAATTCATTTTCTATCAAAAACCATGGTTTTTATCATCATATAGGTTTTTTCCTTGTTCAGATTCTCGATATCTGTACAAAAAATAAATGGCTATATCACATAACCAAAAGAAGCGCCATCTTCTTCTTGCAATTCCTTCAAAACTTGTTTGCAACGCTTTCGCTTGCCTCTTGCTCTTATCAATCAGCTGTTCTTCCAGGTCAATATCTATCATGCAATGTATTGATCCTGCGCTCTCCAGGCGCGACTTTTCTTTGCGCTTTTGTATTGCTGCCGCACAAATTCAAAAACTGACCGCGTAGTTGAATGGTTAGTGCTACGGCGCTCAAAATTGACACAAGCAGGTTCGAACGCGCTTGACGTAAGTGTTTTGCGGCTGCCTGAGTTATTAAAATTCCATGTCCATATGACAGCGGAGTACGAGTATTCAAAATTATCAACCTAAGAACGATCAAGGCGAATAAGACGTCAATCTCGAGAAGTACAAAAAAGAAAAACACTAATTAAAAAACGAGAATCTAAAGCAAGATTGCTTGTGCCCGAAACACGAACATGCCGCGAGGTTCGCGAACTTGCCGGCATCTTTGATGCCACCTGGTAGGGTAGATTACTGCGGGCCCTGATATCGAAAGCAAACATGTATGCAAGTGAGGGGTCCGTAGAAATTATTGAAACGGAGATCCAATTTTATTCAATTTTTGGGCATTCAGAACTCAGTAGGTCTTGAGTCCAAACTTGCGTGGATCAAATTAGACGCGAAAAATAAATGTTGTCTCGTAGAGCTTGCCTTGCTCTATCGAACAGTACCCCTTACCCTTTTTTCGGTTGAGATTGGTTGTTTTACTAAAGCAAGCAGATAAAAACGATATTATTTTCTTGACAATCTAATAGTGTCAGCAGAAATGTGTGAGTAATTAGAAGTGTCCGCTAATCACGAATTGAAGTACATTCGTGGCTCGCGGAGGGTTCAGCGCAAGCGAAGCTCTTTCGAAGCGATTTTCTTGCAGGACAACTTAATAGTTTCGCGCTGGGGTATACATTTAGTTGGAGGTCTGCTAATGCATGGTTTAGATCACGGCTCCCCTTCTTGCGGATCATCTCCTATACCCTTTGATTTAATTGAATTGGCGGCTGGAAGACGGGGCTTCAAGACTTATTAACGCTAGCCGTCAGTCTCGTTGAATCAAAGGTTAATTCGCTTTGCGTAATTCTCGTGTTTCGCTTGACTTTGCGCAGTTTTGCTTCAATGAGTGCAAACAAATTCAAAATGAATCACGAGTGTGTATCTTGCTTGCTGTGGCGACTAAGCCGCTTCACAGTAATCTACGAGGTTGGTGTTATATCAAAAATGTGAGACATGCATATTTTGTTTAGAATGTTTTCAAAGTTAGTGAAGCTACACTTTGCGTGAAAGATTTGCAGCACTTTTTGAAATGCTCATCGATATTCTTTGAAAAACGCTTTATTGGAAGGATTTGATTGGCGATTGAACGTTGAAGAATGCGAACTTTTTGGGTTCCTTCATACTACGCCGCTGAAGTCGCAGTGAAAATATACGCTTACGGCAGCTTAGCTTGCCCGGTTATGGATGACATCTATATTTGCTGCACATTCGTGTTCTCCGAGAGGTTCCTTCACAGCGAGCGAACTTATATTTTCAACTGCAGCGTGCTGCCACGTGCTGCGGCAGGCTGCTGCGGCGTAGTGAAAGAACCCTTTCGCTTGTCTCCCAAAACATTATATTAGGAGTGTAATGAAGTTAGTGTAATCAGCTCATACCCATGTTACCAACATCACCCGTATACCTGTTAGTTAGCTGTGTTACTCATGTCACCAGTATCAGTCCGTGTCGCCCATGTTACCAGTGTTACCCAATTACCAGTTTTACTAGTGTTTTTAACGTTATTGCTTTTACTGCTCGAATGGCCACGCTTGATATCTTCGAGCGGAATCTCATCGATTGGTGAGTGTCTTTTCAGTTCTCTACGAGCTGTATATATTAGGTTGAACCGAAAGTTCTTTCCCCCCATTTTCAAAA